CCATAGAAATAGGCTTCAAGGACTCCATGAATTCCTTGAAATGGTCCAGAATTTTGTGTGAATATGTCTAGGTGCGTTTTTCTAGGGAAAGAACTAGAGGTTTCATCAACTTTTAAATATATAACCTAAAAAAAATAGGAACTATGTAGCTTTCTTAAAAAGGAATTCAGAAGTTAAAAAAAAAAAGTTAAAAAACCCACTGATCTGGATCTGTGTTGTCCAATGAGGTAGCTACTAACCAAGTAGCTACTAAGCACTTGAAAAGTACTTATACAACTATGGAACTGAATTTTCAATTAAATTCCAATTTGAATACTGAAGCAGTGTATCTTTTAAAATATTGATTATATGTTAAAATGATAACATTTTGGATAAAATGGGGTAGATACAATATATTAAAATTAATTTTACCTGTTTGTTTTTACTAGAGATGGTGACTAGAAAATTTAAAATTACATATGCGGCTTATATTTCTTTCCATTGGACAGCATTGTTCTTGATTTTAAAGTTAATCCAGGTGTAAATATTTGTAATAAATCACAGTTAATGAATTATTTAATAGCTAATTATATGTCTATACTGTACTGATATTCTTGAGTATTTGTAATACTCAGAAACTATAAATCAAATGGCTGTGAGACCAGACCTCCCCTATTATAATGCTAGAACCAATTCACCACGTACATTTGATTTCTCTAGGATTCTGGAGTGACAGAAGCAAGGCCAATATATTATTCAAAACCCTAAACTTACTTCAGAAAGTAGGCAGATATGAAAAATGCAAAACACTCACATGCAGAGTAATTTGCTTATTTATTCAAACACTTATTATCCATTATGTAACGGTGATTAAAAAATGAGTAATTAAACACAAGAGCCTAGATTCTTCTGGGGATAGACATGTAAAAAAGATAATTCTATCATATAGTAAGTATCACAAAAAGTAATGAACAGGGTGTTCTGGGAACATAAAGAATGAAGTGCTTGGTTCTATCAAAGAACCCAGGAGGTGGCTTCCTGGAGAAGATGACACTTCAAATAAGACATTAAAGGTTAACAGGAGACCATTAAATTAGGAGGAAAAAAAGACATTCAAAGAAGGAAGAAAAGAATAAAGATATTTAGGAACTTCCAAGTGGTTTAGGATGGCTAGGATATAAAAGGGAGAAAGAAGATAAGGAAACCTGGAATGTTAGGCAAAAGCAAAGTAATAAAGAATCATGTTTAACAGGCAAAAAAAAAAAAATTAAAATCTGATTGCATATATGATACGA